AAACTCCTAACTCTCATCACGAGTACGCAAGCAGCGAAATTACAGCACATACTACACTAATCTGTAACACACACAAAAATATCCTAAAAATTATGTCTACAATAAATGTACAAAAGAATAATTTAAGCAAAATAGTACACTACCGCGTAAACAAATTATTTTCTCAGTAACAAGTAACAAAATAGATTACGAAATGCTCACCTCGCGATTCGCTGTCGCACGTCACACCTGGCCTTCTCCTCCTCACTTCTTTCCCCATTGCAGTTTCTTCGGCACTCGTGCAATCGCGTCTGCATTCCCTAAAACAGATAAGTTATTGATTACAATTAAACGCGGTTATAATTAACCACTATACTACCCTAGTAGCACAGTGCATTGGCTAAACATTGGCTAAATATTGGTTCAACGTTGGTTATATTAGAAATACATTAGCCGATATTGTCCAACGTAAAGCCAATACTGGCCATGCAATAAATGTAAATATTACACGATAATAATTATGTAACATTATATTTATATTGGAAATATTGGAAATGCATTGTCCAATATTTAACAATGTAATAACAATATTGATGCAATATTAGACGGTCTAATATTGATGCAATATTAGACCAATTGCTAAATATTGCTAAATAGACATATTGGCTAAATAAGAAAAGGCATCTTACAATATTGGACCAATATTGGGAATACTAGATTTACATTACTTCCCAATATTGCGCCAATATATTGTGCTACCAAGGGTATAATACAAGAATCGCGCGGCTTTCTCATAAAACTTTACACGATATTTCCGATATTAATCACACGCGACGCGTACATAACCATGTCGCGACAGCAAAAGTAGGAGCGGACAAAATTACAACACGTACGATATTCGCGATATTTCACAAATAAGAATACAATCTAAAGTGCATCTAAACGGCAGCGAGGTTTCCCGAAACTTGGCGTGCCAAAAGCGACGCGGCGTCGCTAGATCGATTCGCACGGCGGATCCTCGGTCGAACGAGTCTCGCAAAATATGCACCGGGACGGATTATCAAACGTATACGAATGCCAGTTCATCACGCGACATAAACGTTGCAACAAACGCAATTAATATAGGCCTTACCTCGGATTCGCGACGCCACTCGTTCTCAAGACCGAAGTACGTCTGCCCTCGCCCCGCCGCGTCCTGCAAGTGAACCAGAATCAAGATGGCGCCGACTTTACGCGCCAAAAACGCCGCGGCGCGGCACTGAGCGTTCTGCTCCTAACTTTGCGTTCACGCATTTTCCGCATTAAATGAAAACTAGCACACGCTCGTCTTTCAATTTGACTTTACGTTACGATGCGAGTGAAATTCGCAAGACGAAATTGCGGACAGATACTCAAGAATATAATCGCCGTCCTGCCGATTGCTCGCGCGACAGATCCGCGGCCGAACGAGCCTCGCGAAATACGCGCCGGGGCGGATTATCAAACGTACGAATGCCAGTCTATCACGCGACATAAACGTAGCTATGAACGCAGTTATATAGGTCTTGCTTACGTCGAATTCGCGACGCCACTCGTTCTGAAGACCGAAGTACGTCTGCCCGCGCTCCGCCGCGTCCTGTAAGTGAAACAGAATCGAGATGACGCCGACTTTACGCGCCAAAAACGCCGCGGCGCGGCACTGAGGGTGCAAACTCATAGAGCGGAACGGTGTAGGCAGAAAATCGCGGAACGGAAGCCTCGACCAATCACGAGTGTCCCGATGTGATTGGTCGAAGCTGTCGTTCCGCGATTTTCTGCCTACACCGTTCCGCTCTATGAGTTTGCAACCTGTGCATTCTGCTCTTACCTTCGCGTTCACGCATTTTCCGCATTAAATGAAAAATAACATACGCTCGTCTTTCAATTTGACTTTACGTTACAATGCGAGTGAAATTCGCAAGACGAAATTGCGGACAGATACTCAAGAATATAATCGCCGTCCTGTCGATTGCTCGCGCGACAGATCCTCGGCCGAGTCTCGCGAAATACGCGCCGGGACGGATTATCAATGTACGAACGCTAAGTCTATCAGGCGATAGATATTGCCACAATAATGATGAACGCAAAGGTAATATAGATCTTGCTTACCTCGGATTCACGACGCCGCCCGTTCTACAGTCGATCCGCCCCCGCTCCGCCGCGTTCCGTAAGTGAAACAGAATGAAGATGGCGAAGGTGCGCGTGGTACGCGCTGCCAACTTGACGCGCCAATACCGCCGCGGCGCGAACCTTTGTAAACCACACATATTGGACTTTACGTCAGAATGTTTCTAATGAAAAGCGGGAAACCCACGAATTGAACGTATGCCAAGAACTATTGCACTCCTAATTGAAATTACGATTTAGTAGTGTAACTATCGGACAAGTAACTGAACTGAATAACTGAATCGACAAATCAATTATAGAATAATGCAAAATAAATGCCAATATATATTTTGTTGACATCCTACTAGGTGATTAAAGAATTGCCTGTTTTTATTAACTCCAGAGAGAGAGAGAGAGAGAGAGAGAGAGAGAGAGAGAAATTACGGCTATTTTCATCTTTTCTTCTACCCTTTTTTTACTCCTACTTTTAACTAAATTTAAACTTATTAGTGCATTGTTAATAAAATAATAAATATATCGTGAAATGCAACGCCGTCACAGCTCCGCTGAATGATTTGCAGTGATCCCCTGTGCAGTACCTCGAAGATTGCCCCACTGCCTTTGATTTCTTTCATCGGGAATTCCTCGTTACGGATCGGAGTGACAGCGAGAGGTCATTTCGCGTCGAATTCAGCTTACCCTTGTCAAGCCTCGCCGTCTGTATTCAACTGCCTCCCGAATTGGCTTGGCTTCATGGCACGTCGAGTCGTGTATTCGAGGTATTTTTCGCGACTTGAAGAAGCAGGAACAAGCGGGATTTCCATAATCGATATACCGGGAAGAAAGCGCGCTTCGGTCTTGGAGACTTTTCCTTCACCAAGGGACCGTGCCTTGTTTCTCCTTCTCGATTCGATGCCGCACTCCTCTCCTGCCCCCCTCCCCCCTTTGCCCGAACCATGCGCCATTTTCCCGATTTTCTCCGGTTATTTCCCGAGAGAAGAGTCATCATCCCTGGATAGAAATTTCCAGGATCCTCGATCGTGTGTCTTGTTGCCGATTATTTGAGTTCTGGCCAAATTACGATTTTCTATATCGACTATGTCGGTCACAGCTCTTCCATGAAAGCAAGATGACATAAAGCAACGACAGCTTGTTAGCTGAAAGTAGGAACGAGCTGGCAACTATATAAAAGTTATTGGTATTTACATTTATTGAAGCTGTCTCGGATTTCTCTTGCTATATGGCTTCTATATTTCAGACAAGCACAGTTTTAGATTACGGATTGATACGATATGAATAGAGTTATCGATCGGATGGTCTATGGAAGATTTCCAAGTAGGAAACTGAAACGAGAAAATTTGTAAGTGTAGAATTCGTGCTATGTACGTGAAATTTTTTAGTATATATTACAATTTGGGATTATCATTATTTTACATATTATACCATTCTTTACACACCAATGTTTGGACTATGTCTGATCCGTCAGACGTGTAGAAAATGTAATATGTAATTCGGCTGATAATTTTACGGTACATTTGTTATTTTATTAACAACGCATTGGATGTATAACTTTAATTTCGGTATATAATCTTTAAACCTAATTTCACTCGTGTCTTCAAATAAGTTTGAAGATTAGATACCTAAATTGATCATCAAAGTGATCTATAAAAGTAGAAGTCGTAAGTAAAAAAAAGGTGAAAGAAAAAATAAAAATAGCCGTACTCTTTGGAGTTAATGAAGACAATTCTTTAATTAGTTACCAGGATGCCAATAAAATATATATTGGCGTCTATATTGAATTATTTTATAATCGATTTATTGATTCAATTCAGTAATTGTTCGATAGTTACATTACTAAAGCGAAATTTCAATTAGGAATGCAACAGTTCTTGGCATACGATCAATTCGTGGCTTCCTCGCTTTTAATTAGAAACATTCAGACGTAAAACCAAATATGTGCGGTTCTACAAAAGTTCCAGCTATTTCTCGAAGAGAATTCCTGTTGCGTTCTCGAAAGAATTCGAGCGATTAACACGCACAGCAATAAAAGCGAAAATAAGAAACTTGTGATGCGCTTCTAATTTTCACGTAGAAATTTGTCATTTGCAAGAAGTTAATATTGAATTGAAAACGCAAAATGTAAATGAAAACGAATCGGAAAATCGAACAAAAGAACCAGAGGGCATAGCACATCGATTATTAATAATACAATTTCACTTGTGTTTTCGCGAGAATTATAAGTTTTACGCCAATTACATATATAATATTTAATTTCAATTACGCATCTCTGATTGTTCAATATATTTGATATCAGCCACCTATTTGATTTGCATCGTATTATATTATAATATCAGGTTGAAACTATCGGCATCTATCCGTCGCTGTTAACGGAACATGGCGAGCATGAAACGGGTCGAATAAATGATATCACGATTCGTTTGGTAAGTAAGCAAGACTCACATTAACTTAACACTTGTCATTGATTACAACATTTTACTATCGCGTAATATACAGTGAATTTGGTTGCTTGCACTAGTGCGCACTGAGTGCACACTAAGGCTTGTTTACAGTCAATTCTTATATTTACGGATCGTCTCAAAGATCTCTTGAAATATTTCGAAGCCAGTAAACTGATCTGTATAGCATCCATGCGGATCATGTTTTGGCTAAATACTTTTTGAACGTGTATTTAAGACAGAGTTAAATACAAAAATTGACTACAAACAGGCCTTAGTGTGCACTCAGTGCGCACTATTGCAAGCAATCGAATTCGCTAATAAATTCGGCGAGCGAAAACGCGAGAGCAATCGAACAAAATAGCAATTAGGCAAATTGCTGGATATCTATCCGCAATTTTATCTCGCAAATTCAACTCGCGTAACGTAAAGTCAGATTGCTATAAAGCGTGTGGTATTTTTCATTAAATTATGCGGCAAATGCATGAACGCTCAGTGTCGCGCCTCGGAATTTTCGGCGCGCCAAGTTGGCAGCGCGCAAGACGAGCGCCATCTAGATTCTGTTTCACTTGCAGGAAGCGGCGGAGCGGGGGCGGCTGGACTACGGAACGAGTGGCGTCGCGAATCCGGCGAATCCGAGGTAAACGAGACTTGTATTTAACCTTGCGTTTATCATTATTGTGGCAACATCTATCGCGTGATAGACTTAGCGTTCGTACATTGATAATCCGCCCCGGCGCGTATTTCGCGAGACTCGTTCGGCCGCGGATCTGTCGCGCGAGCAATCGACAGGACGGCGATTATATTCTTGAGTATCTATCCGCAATTTCGTCTTGCGAATTTCACTCGCATTGTAACGTAAAGTCAAACAGAAAGACGAGCGTATGCTAGTTTTCATTTAATGCGGAAAATGCGTGAACGCGAAGTTAAGAGCAGAATGCGCAGGTTGCAAACTCATAGAGCGGAACGGTGTAGGCAGAAAATCGCAGAACGACAGCTTCGACCAATCACATCGGGACACTCGTGATTGGTCGAGGCTTCCGTTCCGCGATTTTCTGCCTACACCGTTCCGCTCTATGAGTTTGCACCCTCAGTGCCGCGCCGCGGCGTTTTTGGCGCGTAAAGTCGGCGTCATCTCGATTCTGTTTCACTTGCAGGACGCGGCGGAGCGCGGGCAGACGTACTTCGGTCTTCAGAACGAGTGGCGTCGCGAATTCGAGGTAAGCAAGACCTATATAACTGCGTTCGTAGCTACGTCTATGTCGCGTGATAGACTGGCATTCGTACGTTTGATAATCCGTCCCGGCGCGTATTTCGCGAGGCTCGTTCGGCCGCGGATCTGTCGCGCGAGCAATCGACAGGACGGCGATTATATTCTTGAGTATCTATCCGCAATTTCGTCTTGCGAATTCGCATTGTAACGTAAAGTGAAACTGAAAGACGAGCGTATGCTAGTTTTCATTTAATGCGGAAAATGCGTGAGCGCGAAGGTAGGAGCACAACGCTCAGTGCCGCGCCGCGGCGTTTTTGGCGCGTAAAGTCGGCGCCATCTTGATTCTGGTGCACTTGCAGGACGCGGCGGAGCGGGGACAGACGTACTTCGGTCTTGAGAACGAGTGGCGTCGCGAATCCGAGGTAAGCAAGGCCTACATTAACTGCGTTTGTCGCAACGGCTACGTCGCGTGATAGACTGGCATTCGTACGTTGATGATAATCCGGCGCGTATTTCGCGAGACTTCCTTCGGCCGAGGACCCGCCGTGCGAATCGATCTAGCGACGCCGCGTCGCTTTTGGCGCGGCCAAGTTTCGGGAAACCTCGCTACCGTTTCAGATGCACTTTAGTTTGTATTCTTATTTGTGAAATATCGCGAATATCGAACGTGTCGTAATTTCGTCCGCTCCTACTTTCGCTGTCGCAACACGGTTATGTACGCGTCGCGTGTGATTAATATCGAAAATATCGCGTAAAGTTTCATGAGAAAGCCGCGCGACATGTATTACAGTCTAGTGATTGATTGTAACGGCGTTTATTTATATATTGTATAACTTTTCTATTTTAGCGAATGCAGACGTGATTGTGCGAGTGCCACGAAGAAACGGCAATGGAAAAAGAAAAGAGGAGATGAACGAGATGGCCAAGTACGACGTGTGACGGCGGATCGCGAGGTGAGCATTTTGTTAACTATTTTATTACTCGTTATTGAGAAAATAATTAATTTGCGCGGTAGTGTACCGCGTTTTGCATAAATTGTTCTTTCGTATAGTTATTTGAGACTTCATTTTTAAGATATTTTTGTGTGTGTTACAGATTAGTGTTGTAACATCGTTGCCTGCGTACTCGTGATGAGAGTTAGGAGTTCTGACAACCTGTGAGGAGCTGAAGGAGAAGGTCTGACAGCTTGGAAGGAGAAGGAAGCCTAGGCCTAGAAGAGGCATCGGGCGACGGCAGAACAACTTTGTGGTAAGTTTACTCGTTTTAATAAAATTAGTGTTTCTGTCACGTTTATTCGGGTAGTTTTATTTCGATAATTAAAAAATGATTAGAAAAAAGGAATTAATCTAAAACTTGATTAAAGATTACTTTTATGAAGATATTTTCTTAATTTTATTTATTTTAAAAGATATTTAATAAAGTAATTTAAAAGAAGTATATGCGAGTAAGAATGACCGCTTAAATTTATGATTATTTTAAGCGTTACATTTATTTGGATCGTATGTTTTTATGTTTCAGAATCATCGTAGCTTCCTGGCTGATAATTTAGCTGCTGCGCATCGATCGGTAAGTGACAAAAAGCTTAATTAATTCTGAATTGTTTTATAATAAAATTTGTGCACCATTTGGTATAAAAAGGTTTATTATGTCTTTTTAAATGATTGTGTAATGTTATAACTAATATTCGAATACAGTTATTAATTTGCACATTTAACTCACTTGAATTACAGGTACATGCATTTTATTATTAAATGTACTTGTTTCTGGCTACTGTTTGTTATGATTTATTCTACTCTATTATTGTTAAAACTCTTTCTACAATTTTTTCGTCCATCGCGTAATGCTCGTAATTTCACAACTCGTGTTTGTATCTATCCCAACGTTATTGGCTGTTACAATCGGGCATTACTTGTCGGCATTGATAATTAACCGGCACTCGACAGAGTCTTCCTTCTTCCTGACAATCTGTTGGCCGAAATTGTGGTCAGAATGTTGGTAGCCAAAAACAACGAAAGAGGTTCAATTTCGCCTGAAGAATCCAACGGCAGCTCGTAAAATAGGTCAACGATGTTGACCAAAGATACAGTGATATAGACTTAATAAATAACATCGATATATTTTTTCACATACGTGTGATTACATATAAATATAAATTGGAATAGAAAAATAATACTCTTGAAAATTAAATCCCACTTAAATTTCAATGTACACTACAAAAATTCGATTGGTACGATTGGTATAAGGTCTACTATCTACAGGTTGTACTCGAATAATTGCAAACATAATCGATTTATAAATAAAAATACAAGTAGGGGGAATATTATTAAAATTTGCGTGGCTAGGTAAGAGTACTATTAGGAAGAGAGGGAAATTTTTTAATTAAAATATTAATCGTTGGAAAAATTTGAGTCGCCAGTAGTAAATTAAGACCTTTGTGATTAATAATTGAGTCGACCAGTTCTGGCAAAATTCATATATTTAGTGATTCACGACGTTTCGATCAGTAATACTGATCCTTTTCAAGTAGATGTTCCTCTCTATACTTGTACAAGATTGGACCGTAGTTGATGTGCCGAGCGTTTTTTTGTTCCTATTTTCGCTTATAATTTTTATCATGCGCCACGACATACTTTCTATTTGTTGCTGTAACAACTGATAGATTTAACATAACATCTACTTGAAAAGGATCAGTATTACTGATCGAAACGTCGTAA